CTGAGAGGACATGGGAAGCCCTGGTCCTTCCCCTGCCGTCTTGGTTGACACCTTGGGAATCAGACAGATTACAGTAATCAGCTAATGCCTGAGCAGGGCTCTGAAGATAAAAAGCCCTTATTGAAAGGGCTAAGTATGATGATTAAGTTGGAACGTGGAATTAGCCGCACATGGAGAGCAGGCTGCAGCCGTCAGGAGAGGATTAGTGGCTCACTGTCTGATTAAGCTGAACGCAGGTTGGGAGGGAAAGACACTGATAGGCTTATGACTCTGGTCACATCAGAGAGGGCTACTGGCAGTCAACATGGCAGCGGTCATGCCCCAGTGATGAAGGGATGGAGGCAGCATCCAGAGAAAGTGGGGTGGATCCCCAGCGGCCTTTGACTTTCTCATTCATTCATCCATCCATCTAATACTTACCAACTATCTGCCACGTCTCAGGCACTGTGGGTACAGCCAAGAATGAGAGAGAAAGCTCTTAGGAAGTCCCCAGTCTGGTGAAGGGAGAGAGACACTTAACAATAAGCACATATCAAGGGACTACTGGTTATCTTTTAGTGTAATAATGTAACTTGTGCTTATATTTTATTAAAGATCCCTAATCATTTAGAGATAGAGGCCAAAATATTTATAGGTGAAATCATATAATGCCTTAAATTAATACAGGGTCAGGGGTGAGTGGGGGTAGAGGTGAAAAAAGACTGGCTCTGAGTTGGTAATTGTTGAAGCTAGGTGACAGGTACATGAGGGTCATGTACTATTCCATCTTCTTTTCTAAATGTTTATAATTTTCCATTTTTAAAAGTTTAAAGAATGCAGGCAGATAATTATAACCCACGATGAGTGCCATGAAGGAAAAGCAAATGATGTGAGAAATTACTGTATTGAAATGAATATCTACTGCTTGACTTATTAAGACATAGAGCATCTAGGTTCAAAACCACCCAGATTTCAGTGAGGAGTCAGGGGGTCTGTTTTTGGCTGGTGAGGCTTTGGAGCATCCTTAAGCCCCCTGATCACCAAAGTAATTCTTTCCGTCTCTTCCCATACCAAGGGGTGGCTGGCAGTGTCCTGGGTGCAAAGGACTCTATCTTCTGGGCAGCACCAGCAGTCCTCTAGCTGACCAGGGCTCAGGGAACCTAAGGCCAGCCCCCAAGGTCTCTCATCATTGTGATGGAAGACAGGGCAGCCCCCATCGCAAACCTGCACCCGTCACTGCTCATGCCTGTGTCACATGTGTGTGCATTGCTTGTCTGCCATGAGCACCACATTAGAATAACCTCAGGGGAGCAGAGTAGGATGACTCACTTCACAGATGAAAAAAACAGGGCTCTGAGGGATTATAAAAAGACTGGCCCAAAGTCAACAGCAGCGCCAAAGATTAAGGCCTGTGCTCTTGTCAGTGTGCGTCCCCCCACCGTCCCCTCCCCCATGTTAACACAGCCATCATTCCAGAATCACAGGGAGGGGGTGCATCACGGGGAGAAACTGTTGGCAAAGAAGACAGCTCAGACTGCAAGCACAGGTACCAGGGGCCCAGAGAAGGCGAGGCCATTGCTCTTGAGGGCACAAGCCTAGAAGCTAGGATAGGTGACAAAGGAGTGAGAACTGTAGTTTCCTGGAAATGTACAGCACCAAGCAACCTTGGGCCTCCAAACATCAGAGGAAGCAGAGTTCAGGATAATAACCAACCGCCCGCCCCAACTCCCCCACCACCATCACCAAGCAGCATCCCTTGGCTGCAGATCTGGCTCAATTTCCAGGCCTCTGTGACAGGAAAGGCCCCAGGAGTGGTGTAGGGACAGCCTCGAGGGTGCTGGAGTGAGGGAGCCTCGGGCCCTGGGTGTGAGGGAGCCTCTTGGGCAGAGCCCTCTGTGAGGCCCGTGCCCCTGCCATCTTGGAATGGCACTGTCCCACCGTGGACACTCTGGGTTTTTCCAAAGTACACAGACTGTACACAAAGTACACACAAAATCAGTTCCTGACTGCTGCGAGATGAGCAGCAATGACAAGGGAACATAATGTGGGTGACCCTCTGTCCTCACTGGCCCTGGGGGTACAAGCAGACCTGGATTCAGATCCTTGGGCAAGCCACTTAAATCCTCCAAACCCCAATTTCCTCATGGACTGAGACAGTGAAAGCAAAGCACTTAGCAGAGCACTCAGCCTCCAGTGGGTACCAGCCGCCAGCCTCCTCCCTGCTGGGCAATGGCGCCAGCTCCTGTTCGAGGCTAAGATGGTGATTCCTAGAAGCAGACCTGAGACGAGAATTCAAGACATGGTGGTTTCTTGGAGATGATCCCAGGGCATCCCAGCTGAAGAGTGAGGAAGTGAGACAAGCAAAGGAAGGAGCCTCCCAAAAGGTGTGTTATTGAGAAGGTTACCACCCAGATGCAGACATCTGGAGCTCCAGCCCACAGGGAACTCTGGGGAAGTGTGGTAGCTGAGTAGTGTGGCAGAGTATGTGCATCAGACTCACTAGGAAGGCTTGTTAAAACACTGATTGCTGGGCCCCACCCCCTACATTTCAGTCGGGTGGGATCTGTAGGGTGGGACCTAAGATGTGCGTTCTAACAAGTTCCCAAATGATGCAGATTGCCGCTGGTCTGGGGACCAGCCTAAGACCCACTAATGTAGAAGATAGCACAGCAGGATTCTGCTTGAGGGTTGATGGCCACCAATTTTGTATTCATCAGTGTTTGAGGGATGCTTTCAAGGGCATTAACTCTGACACTTCAGCTTACTCACTTGGCAGCCCAAGACTGCTGCCACGGCCAGAAGGCCCTGATAAATTCATTGCCAGAGCCCTCTCAACAGAAGCTGGGATGCAGGGTGAGGAGGAGAACAGCAGAGAAGACTACAAGGTGGTTTGATGTCTGATTGAAGGGCTTCAATGGGACCTAAGGGGCAAAGATGACTTTGTGTAGGGCCCTAGCAATATGTTCACAAGGCCATGAATTTTGGTAAGATTGGCAAGTGTTTGTTGTGATTTCTTTTCATAGTCTACACAAGTATTCTTTTTATGCCTTATTTTATATTTGCAATTTGTTATTCTTTTTCCCACAGAGGCTTCCCCAAGTTGTCAAGGCTTTGGGCCCCATATCTGGATCAGCCTCTGCTGGTAGATCTAGCAGGAACTCAGACTTGTTTGCTGAATTGAAATGAGTGCCCTCTGCTTGACTCATTAGGAACATAGACCACCTGAGTTCAAAACCACCTAGATTCAAATTCTAGCTCTGCTACTCTCTGGCTGAGTTACTTTGGCAGGTGCCTGTCTAAATCTCCTAATCATTTACAAAATGACAGTAGTCATACTGTCTCTACAAGATCAAATGAGGATCAAATGAAATAATCCCTGTAAAGAGCCAGGCCCAGAATAAGTGCTCAATAAATGTGAATATCTTTTTTATTATTAGTTCCCATGGTTTATTCTTGTTTATTTGCCTTCATGATCTTCTCTCTCTTCCAAGTCGGAAAACATGACAGAACTGGAGGCAGGAAAAAGCAGGCCTCCTCCTGGACTGGCAGTTCGCCTTCCAATCTTGCTTACACAACAGCTCTCCCTGCCCTACTGGCACCACCCCCTTCCCTGGGCACCACCCCGTTGCCAGGCAATCACAGCCCGCCCCTGCACAGGGCTTGAGCAATGTGGCCCAGCTCACTCCCGGCATGCCCTGTGGCTCCTAGAAGGTTTGCTGGGCCATCTGTTTCATGGCAGGTGGCTGATGCGGTTCCAGAGAGACCAAGGGCAACCCGGGCTGTGGTGCTGGGAGGCTGTTCCTGGCCAAGTTGAGCGCAGAGGTTTTGGCATGGTGGCACATCACCCAGCAGGACAGCTTCGAGTGGTTGAGGATTTGCTGCATCCCACATGTCATGTCACAGCAGTGTGAGTCTTACACCAGTCTGAGACACCAGAAGACCAGGCTGAGTCCACCAGGTGGCCTGGGCCCCTCTCCAGCAGGCCCTGCTGTGCCACCCCAGTTCTGGGCCCCAAGGCCCCTGTGTCAGAACACTCCTGGACCTATCCCACCAGTCTAGCCCATCTGGTTCAGCTCTGTGACCTTGGGCTGAATGATCTAAAGAAGCTTCTTTGCCTTCCCACAGTGACTGATACTAAGTGATATTATTATTGACTGCTTACTTTTTACCCTTGAGAAGCATTCTATTATGGAAGCTTTCTGATCCTAAGAGACAAGTACTATGTGCCCATTTTAGAGAGATGAGAAACTGAGGCTCAGGGCAAGATTTTGCCTTAAGTCACACAGCTCCACAGGGCCAGATTTCCAACCCCTGGTAGTACAACTCTAGAGCCTAAGATTTTAACTTAAAGGCTTCCTGTAAAGACTGAGGAGAGGATGTCAAATCTTAGCTAAGTGCCAGTTATCTACTAAGTGCCAGGCAAGATCAGTGGGCAAGTCATCAGAATTACTTGGTAGCAAGTAATAATGGTCACATTACATTAAGGAGTGACTTTGGTTAGAGCTTTGTCAATGATGCATTGCTCTGTCTGTCCATTCAGGACAGGCAATCTGGGAGACGAAACTGCCCCTCCAGAGTTTCAAGTCCTGAAAATGTTGAAACTGTGAGTCTTCTACTTCCTACTTACACTTCTCTCCAATTCTATTTTTACCCCTTCCTCTCCTTTCTATCAGTATAGCTCCAGGGCTGAAGCGTCTGCTTCTGAAAATGGCCATGTTTGTGCCCTTGGTTTAAAGGGGACTATCAGTAACTTCAGAAGTTCTCATTTTTACTGGCTAAAATGAAAATAGCGAAAACACCAGTCATGAAGGGAGTGTTAATAAGGCCTGAAGTTAAAAGGGGACCTTACCTAGCCCGTGACTTGCAAGCTGAACGCTGTCTATGGTTTTCTAGGCAGACAGACATCTGTGTTCTTCCTAAATGTTGGAGACGTGTACCGTTCTGGGACCGGGAACTCCTGCCAGGGTCTCAGTTTCTCCGCCTCTGAAATGATGAACTTGAATGATATTTACCACCTCCAAGTACTACCTGTATATTTTTAATTTAATATTCTTTAATTCAGTTGCTTTATTTACATTTACTTTAAAGAGTAAACTATTTATCATTAATGGAAAACCAGCTTCACATGTCATAAACAAAAGAAACCACAAAAAAGAAATACAAATAAAAGCAAAACATTCTTCCCACTTATAGCAGGCAAGACCTTGATCTCATTTTGTTAAAAAGGGAGAATAGCAAGTTTTAGCAAGGTGTTGAAGACATTTACGCACCGAACTGAACATTTCTCCCATGGGTGATCAGGATTGACAGAGGCAAAAAGAGAAGAACCAAACATGCTGAGATTCTGTGCTCCGTGCCATGAACAGAGCACGTCAAGGCACCCAGAACTTTCGAAACTTGGGGAAACCATGGCCGAGACAGTCCGTGGGGTTTTCCAATACCCAGTATTTGCTCTGATTCTCATAGGGTCTGTGGGGCAGGTAGGGAGTATGTGGTACCCCTTAATGAGCCCACTCACACCATTCCTTTCCACAAAGAGCTGCCTCAGGCGCGGGTAAGATGAAGAGCTGTGCCACAGAATCTGCTGTGGACCAAAAATGTCTCAACCGCTGCTGCTGATCCTTCCCAGGACTGCAGGAGCCAAGGGGGAGAGGGCGGCTACTTCCCGTCTTCCCTTCTGGGGCAGGGAAGACTTAACTCACAGAGGCAAGCAACCCCATTTCTGGATCACAGTCTGGACTGCCAAGGGTGTCGCATAGGAAGGGATGATGACACCATCAGCAGCAACCAAGAAAGAGGAGAAGCTGAAGGGGCCTCAGCTCGTGGTGGGAAGTGGCCACTACCTTAACCAACTTTCCCCTTTACCGAGGACCTGCACCGTCCCAGGATGGAGATGGGGGAGGATCAGGCAGTACCACTCTTCCAACGGTTGCTCCCAACACCAAAATCTAGGCTTCTGGGGCCTCTCCCACCCCCCAGGAGAGGGCCTGTGGCTTTTCTTTGCATTGTCCAGTCCCCATGGCTTAGGGGTTACCATAGTAGCTGCTGCATGGAAATTTATCTTCTCGCCCTGAAGTAGCACAGACACCCACTGTCTGGAAACTGCTTAGGAGGCAAAACAGAGGCCAGCTTTCAACTGGGGAGGACCCACGGTCCCTGCCTGTGGTCTGTCCTATGTGTCTCTAAGAGGGTGAGAACTGGTTTAAGAAGAGAGCCTTGGAAATCTCAACAGATTTCTCCTAATCCTGGCTACATTTCCAAATAAGGCACAATTTTGAAAATTTAGGAAGACAGAGGAGAGGAAATAAGAGAAGAGGCACAGATAAAGAGAAAAGAAGAGGTCTACCTGGCTCAAAGGAAGTGGAATTTTAACTTCTAATTATAAAGAAGAACATTCGTAGGCCCAGAGCAAGATTACAAATGGAGACCCTTGTACTATGTCACTCAATATGTAAATTATAAATCAAGAAACAAATTTAAGTAAACTATGTTCTTCCTTCTACCTTGACACACATTGCTGTATAAAAACAGTGAAGGTTGCATTTGAATCTGGAATTGTCTGACTTCTTAGAGTTTTGCTCTGGAATGTGACGGCTCAGTCCCACATCTAGCTGGGTCTCCTATGCACAAGTGTGTACACCCCAACTACTCTGTTCCAACTCAGCACCACTGGCACATAGTCACACCGTGAGCCAGAAGTGCCTTGAGCAGTCTGCCCTTAGGGGTCTGGACCTAGGAAAGAGTATGCCCAGGCCCTGGCTGCAAGTTTAAGCTCATTTAGGCAGGATTTAGGAGACCTAGGTACCCAGGGCATGGTTCAGAAGGAGGAAAGGGTATGAGCTCCAGGCTGTGATGTCCCCGTAGAACTACAGACTTCTTGCCAGGTGGGATGGTGTACACATGGATCTATGGGCAGTTGAATGATAATAACAGAAGCTAGTGTCTTGTATGCCTTTAGCAGTTTACAAGGTTCTCTTAACTTGATCAGCATTTTGAGACATGCAAGATTAATACCCCCCATTTTATAGGTGAGGACACTGAGGCTCAGAGAGGTTAGTGACTTCCCCAAAGTCTCCTGGTTATAAGCCCTGTACCATGGCTCTCCCCTGTTTCAAGAACTGAGGTAGCTGGTCCTTACCCAACAGGGCAGATAGCCTGAGGGTCTTGAGCAGCAAAAAGCAAGGAACGGGAAATTTCCTGATATCCTCACAGAAGCCTTATGCCAGCCATTAAATACCAACTGGGGTAGCACCAATGGGCCTGGCACATTTTGGCATTTGTCCCCTTCTGTTCCCTACTCACAGAGCTTTGTGAGCAGAAGCAAGCCATACACAGCTGTCTTCTGAGAGACAACTTTGATAAAGCAAGGCCAGACTTCTGCATTCTTACCTCACAAAATATTATAAGCAGTCGATTCGGTTTCTGTTCAGCGGCTGTTTGATAATGGCTCATTTCCCTCTCTGAGTCTCAGCAAAGACTCAGCAAAATGAAAACTGTTACCTCCACCTCAGCAGCTAATGAGCCCAGAGAACAGGCAGGAGGTGTGCCCTGCCCCTGGCGGGAGGCAGTCCTGCACCCCCACTGCAGCTCCCCAGCTGCAGGAGGCATGAGACCATAGCTCCTCCAGCTTGTCAAGGCCAAGCAGCGGGCTGGGGCCTGTGAGCTCCTCAGGCCTCACTCTTTCTCACTCCCTCCTCTCTCTCTCCTCCCTCCTGAATATTAATGGTGAAGGGAGCAGGTGGGAGAGGTGCAGCCAAGGAGTAAAGCCACTGGGTGCCAACCTTGGGGGCTGGAGGAGAAGATAAGCTTGGCACTTAAAATGCAAAAGCTCTGCCCGAATCTGTGATTGTCTGTAAGAAAAAATGAGTGAATGTCCACGTGCATTAACTTTTTTAACAACTTCCCTTCTTTAACAACTGAGCCTTCGCCTGGAACAGGTGCAGACGGAGGAGCCCTTGCTCCCTCTCTTTGGGCCGGGAGTGAGCTCCTGACAAGCCCTTTTCAGTCTTCGGTGGTCTAGAACAGTGGTTCTCCAAGTGGGGTTCCCGGATCAGCAGAAGCACCTCCAGGGAACTTGTTAAAAAGTGCAGATCCTCCTGCTGCACCCCTGACTGGCAGAAGCAGAAACTCGGGGTAACGGGGGGTTGGTGGGGGCAGCGATCTGCATTTTGTTGAGCCCCCTGCGTGATTCTGGTGAAGGCTGCTGCCAGAGGAGCTGGAGTTCTGGAGTCAGACCTGGGCTTAAATCTCAGCTCTGGCACATAGCTGTCGTGTGTCTGAGTCTTTGTTTGGGCACTTGTGAAATGGGGATAATAATACTTCCTCATGGTGTGGCTGACTAAATAAGTAAGATTATTCATTAACCTGCTTGGTTCATAGTGCTCAGTAAGCCACAGTCCTTAGCTTTCTCTGGAAATCAGATTAGACAGGGTAACCTCAAGAAGGCCAGTGTGGAGATACTCACAGGCCAGCATGTCAGGCCCTTTCAGATGTGCCACCTCCAGCATCCTGTGTCCCTTGACTGGTTCACAGCACTTGACCAGGCTGAAACTGTTGGCAGAGCTGGTTTATTTTCCAGCTTCTCTAAAGGGAGCCCTCCACCTCTGCGAGCAGCTTGCAGACTTCCTCTCTGCAGTGATTTCACTGGACAAAGGGACCTGTTGTGTTTGCAGGCAGAGGATCTGTAACTAATTATAGCGTCTGCCATTCTTCCTCATCTGAAATGGGGTGAGGGGAACTCCTGACCTGCCAACCTCACAGGGCAATGGGGAGAGGTCATGGTTTAGCATGGATGATTGGATGATGGGCATTCTGTGGATTAAGTCGTGTAGATTTAATCATCACAACAACTCCATGAGGGTAGGTACTCAGTCAACCCATTTGACAGATAAGGAAACTGAGACACAGAGAAGTTAAGACACTTGCCCAAAGCCACTAATAAGAGACAGAGTCAGGATTCAAAATCAGGTAACCTGGCTCCAGAGTCAACTCCTCGGCACTATGCTCTGCACAAGGGCACCAATGCACCAGGGGCTCTGAAACCTTAGAACAAGGATCCCTTTGACTATCTGGAGAAAGCTATGGTTCCTCTGCCCAAGGGAAGCACACAAACTTCAGCACATGTTCTCAGGGTTCCAGGAAGCTCTCACTCCACCCAAGGATCCCTGAGTAAGACCTGGGTAAGGCCCTTTGAAGAAAATAGGCTAGAAGTGCAGAGCCATTAGCACACTCTGCCCTGTAAACTCCAGGGGGCGGCCTGGGGCCAGAGCAGTGGGGATGGAGGCTGTGGGGTAAGACTGTTGGGCAAAGGCCTCACATCCTTCTGTTGAGAGTGAAGTGTGTGAGAAGTGGGTTGGGAATGTGCGGCTGTTTCCAAAGTAGGAGCAGGACCGAGGGTGCTCAATCTCCCTGGGCCTCTGGAACTCAGTCCAGAAGAATCTGCTGGTTGGCTGGTGTCCACTGGTCTAGAGAAACCAAGTTGGACTTGGTGACCTCAGGATGCTTTCTGGCTCTAGGCATGTGCTTGATAAAGTCAGGGATAGGAGGTGTGGTCATTGGAGGACTTCACCCTCTGCTCAGTGCCTGGGAAGACGGGCCCCACCTCTGGTTCCTTGGCTCCCTGGAGAGGATACATGCAAGATGTCTGACAGGTAAGATCCATGCAGTGAAGCTCCTGTGCCGTGTATTCTGTAAACCTTGTCCTTGGCTTGGTGAGCTTTATGTTCCAAGTGCCCATAAAGTCTGCAGTCTTGGTTACTGGAGACCAGTGACTCCACACCAAACACCACAGGGGCACGGAGGGCAGGCTGTGACTGCTGTCACTCACACTAAACAGGTTAATCCAGCCCCCAGAAGGCTACATGCTTCAGACCCTATTCTGCCCCCCAGCAGGTGTCCCAGGGCTCCTCAGAGGCAGCAGGCTTTGGAGCCTCATAGCCCTGGTCTGAATTCCCATTCAGCATCTTACTGACTTAGCCCCTCTTAATTTCAGTTTCCTCCTCTGTGAAATGGGGGCAACAGCCCCATCGCATGGTTGCTGTACATGGGCACAGCCTAGCCCTGTAGGTGCTCAATAATCAGCACCCCCTTTCCTGTGATGCAGACCACGTCCTCATCCAGCTACAGGAGCGGGGCCCTTGCTCAGCAGCTCCGGGTCAGGCCAGCGCCTTGCAGAACCTCGGGTAGACTGCAGGCCTCTGCAGTCGAAGCTCAGTATGGGGAGAAACACTTTGTCCGATGAAGCCTTCCCAAAGTTAAAGGCACCAAACCCTGCCTGGGGAAAACAAGGCAAAAGTGTCATCCTGTGGGCAAGAAATGCCTTCCCAGCTGCCTCCATCAAAAGATGGTTAGGTGAAGCAGGTAGATGAGGAAAGAAGGGAAGGAAAGCAGCTGTACCTTAAAGACAGACCCGGTGGCTGCAGCTGGAATCTTTAGGGACCACCTCTCACTTGGGATACTGAAATTATTCCTCTCATTCCCATTCACAGAGCCCCCTGCATCCTAGAGCTGTGGAGGCGACCCCAGGCTCTCAGCCCAACCTCGTCTCCTCTTTCGGCTTCCTTCCTCCGTTTTCATCCTTTCTCTTCTCTTCTTCCTCCCCTCGCCTCCCTGCAGCTTTTTAAAAAGACTCTGTTGGCCGCCACTGTGGGCAGCACTTGGAGTTGTGGGCAGGGGAGGACCCTGGCAGCTGGGATCAGGGGGCAAGACCAGAACCCAGCGAGGGAGAGAAACAAGGACATGTCCACACTGACAGTTTAGAATCAGGTAAACTAGGCGATTCTAAAGATAGAGGCTTCCAGGAGCTGGTGATTAGCAGTGATCACACACCAGGCTCAATATGAAATATTTTGTATGCATTACCAGTGTACCAAGCAGATACAAGGCTGGTACTAGAATCACCCCTATTGTATGAGAAAATGGAGTCAGATTGAACTTGCCTGTGGTCACACAGCTAGGAAGTGGTGAGGACTCAAACCTAGGCAGTCTGGCTCCAGAGCCCAGACTCTTGGCACCACTGTGGGACACAATCAGTTTCTAAAGGAATCTGTGTACTTGGCCATGTATTCATGATGGAGGCAGGACAGGGGATGGGGTGTCCATTTTTCCAGCTGAGGCTTAGAAAAAAAGTGAAGTGGCTAGCACTGAGGTCAACGTGAGGGACAGAGCTTGGTCTGGGAACTCAGTAGTCCCAGCTTTCTGCCTCATGCTCCCCACCCCCAGGTCAGACCTGTCTGAGCAGGAACCAGACAGAGGCCCAGGCATCAAATAGCAGGCATCAGAATTGGAGGTGTTGCTCTGGATAGGCAGTGGGGTTGGGAGCCAGGCAAGGGGTGGGTACTGAAAGAGGGTCTAGGGTGTGACCTGTCAAGAAGTTGGGTGCTGACTGTCCAGACAGTAGCAAAACACTGGAGAAAAACACATTTGCTGGGGATCTGCTATATGCCAGGTACTTCTACCTACAATATTAGGGCTTATTTAATCCTTACAACAGCCCTCAAAGGTTCTCATTTTAGACATGAGAAAGTGGCTGCATCAAGTACACAGCTAGGACATGGCAGGACCAGAATTCCAACCTTGTCTGGGTTCCTGAAGCTTCTAGCCGTCTACTCCTCAACCCCACGCTGTGGGCCTGCAGATCCCTCTAACTGCCAGTGGAGGGCAGGAACTGTTCTTGGGTGCACAGGGCCAGTGGGTCAGCTAATGAGTCTTGTGGGACAAAAAGCACAACCATATTCATCGCTGTCTTTTGGGGTCAAGCCCAAGGCAGCCTGAAACTGAGGTCATCTCTCAGGCTGAGGCTGCCTTCCCACCTCCAGAGTGGCCAAAGCATGGGTGGGAGCAGAGGGTGGGCACTGTGCCCTGGGTCATCCTGCTACCGATGCTGTGAGCCCTGGTGCAGCTCTGCCATGTGGGCTGGGGAGTGGGCATGACTGAGTCCACCAGGCTGGCTCCATGGCACAGCAGACAGGCACAACTTTTGATTCTTATCGTCCCCTTTGCAGATGAGGAAGTGAGATTCTAAAAGCTATGTGGCATAGCCAGTGTCTGGTGGGGCTGGAGCAAGGCTTCCAGACTCCCAAACTACATTCTGTGTCCTATAACCCAGAGACATACATGTCCAGAGACAGGTCCACCTGTGCTGGGGTGACCTCAGCCACAGGAGCTGGTGGGGTAGGAGGGGATGTAGGAGGAAGAGGGCAGGGGCTGGGGACTGGACTGGACAGGGCAAGGCCTGAAAGCAGCCCAAGAGCCCGTGCCAGCATCCAGATCCATGGGGACCAGTCCAGCAGGGATCTAGCCAGCTGCACTGCTCAAATCAGCTAGGCTAGGGCTACTGGCAAGGTTCTGGGCAATCCATCTACTCACACAACATTCCAGCCAAGACACAGAGTGAGGAATAGGGGCAAGGAGATCGGGAAGTTTCAACCAGGGGAGCAAGAGGGCAGGGTAGGTAAGGACCCCCGAGTTTAATTGGACCTAGGCTTGATTCTTGCCTAGGCCACTTAGTACTTGGCTAAGTTACTTAACCTCTCTGAGCTTCTACAGATGGAGGAACAATGCAGGTAAAACACCCAGCATAGGGTAGCACTGGGTCAGCAGTCTGGGCAGCTGACAGAAATGCTGCCCTAGACCCTGGGTTTGTGGCCACATGACTAATCCCAGCCTCCACCTGCTGGTGGGGCTGAAATTCCTTCTGGGATCTGCCAGAATCAAAACTGAACGGGGAACTGGGCTGACCTCAGCAGTGGGTGGAGGGCAGCAGTGCCTTGGGCTCCGGGCAAAACTGGCCCTGATGATGCCACCAAGGAAGTGACGATGGTGAGCTAGATACTGGACGCTTTCACTCAGAAAGCCCACGGAGTTGAGATACGCACTGGGCTTTAACCTCCACTGGAATGAAATCTCTCAACCACATTTTGGTCCTCTGTCTTCTACCTGGAGTTTTCTGTAAAAGCTGGGGTCCTGCAGTGACCAAGCTGGAGGCCCCAAATCTTTTATGGGGAGCACTGGGCTGAAGACCGCAGAATGAAAGGTCTTTGCTAATAATATCCACCCCTGGCTCAGGTCCCTTCACATAGCAACAGGCATTTTCTTAGAAGTACCTGTCACCCACTAGCTGAAGAGTCAACTAATTTGGCTGCCTCTGGCTTTCTTTGTTGAACAAAAGGAGGAAAATGACAATGTGTAGGGTCTGGAAATACACAATGGCATGCACTAAAAACTGCCACTTGGGATTAACTTAGAGAACTCTGGGACAAAGGCAACTTCTTGGGACACCCCCCACACCCCCAGCTCTGACACTAGAAAATCCTCTTCTCTTTAATGAGTTTTTTTCACTCCCCAAAACATGTGAGCTGGTTCCACAAGCCTGCTGAGGTCACAGGAGACTTGAGACCCCAAGCAGCCCACAAGCTATTACAGTGATAGGGACAAGGAGGCCTGCACACCGCAGGTCACCCGTCTGTCTGGAGATATATTTTTATTTTCCTTCCTTCCCCCCTGGGAAAGAATGCTCCTCTGGGAGGTGCCCACTAAGGTGAGCAACAAAGAACAGTGGGCAAAAGCTTGGATAATCACCCCATCAGCCAAGCGGCAGGCCCCTCCCAGGTAAGGACAGCCCTCCTCCCCAGTGAAGCTGGCGCTGGCTAGCAGTGATCCCCTGGGCTTGCCCTGCACTTCAGCTCGGCCGGCCGCCCTCTTCCCCCTTCACACCAATTTCAAAGCAATCATTTCACTAACAGGGTGCCTATTCTTCTTCTGAAAGCTAGCCCCCTTCAATGGAGCATGTGAGACCCCCCACTACTGCTTCTCCATTAGCTCCAGGGTGGTTCCCATCTCCAAGCTCGGAGACTGCTGTTTTACCTTAAACCAGACATGCTGCCAATTTGAAAATACCTGAGGTTGCGATGAGTCACCAACCAGACTGATGCCCCAAATGATCACCAGCATTAAAGGCAGTGAAAAACACCAAGGGATAGATTTGAGCCTTCTACATGGGGAGGGGATAGGGGAAAAAATTTATTTTTAAAATTAAATTTTTTTTTTAGTTATCAAGTTTCAGAAAACCTTTCAAGTGTATCTTTTTCAATTCTCTGGCTAAAGAGAGGGAGTGTGTACTGGCTTGAGACATGGGGCACATAAGCTGTGGCCGCTGGGTGGATTACTGCCTGCCTCCAGTTTAATCAGCTGCCTGCAGGACGCCAGGGAGCCAGTGCTCCTCAGAGAAGGAGCAGACTGATTCACGGCTCTCGGTGGCCACTTCTTCGGGACATGCTCTGACCTTTGTGCTCACCTCTTGAGAAACTACTCCTGGTCTGATCTAGTCCCCTTCTCTCTTGATTCCCAAGCCAGTCTGCTTCCCCAGGGAATAGCCCTGCAGAAGTCTTCAAGGAACCTGACAAAATATAAATTACTACTCATGTCCCACGATCACAACTGTGTGGGGGCCAGAGAACCCAAGGGTTGCTTTTCGAAACAACAGCTTCAAAATACATACAATACCCAGAGCAAACCAGGACAGAGACCACCTCATTCTGCAGCCCAAAGCTTCAAGTTCTCCTGATGTTCATATTGAATAAGAAGGGCCAGAGGCCCCATTCTAGACACCTTCTGCCCCTCCCGTTCACCCTCTGTCCTCTCCACCTGCTCCTTGGCTGTAGCTCAGTCTACAGGAACCAGAGGATTTCAGAGGGAATGAATATACCTCTTGTGGGTCACAGTGGCCTGGATGTACCCCTGCCCCTTTAGGCCTGGGATGGAATGGCCTTATTATTTCTGCAATATAATGTACAACCCCTTTGGGTTCCCATACCCACTCTTCAAATATCCTCAGTTTACCTAATTTGAGTATGCTGTTTCCTGTCAAGACCCTGACTAAGACAGCCACCAATAAGGCCTTCATTAAATGCCCAGGGATTTATTATACCCTTGAACCAATGGCTTTAACATGTTGTAAGCATGGACATTAAAAGACCCCACCCTGACGTAGGCCATAGACCACTTAAATGATCCCCATTTGAAAATGCAGGCCTGACATACTCAGCCCCTAGGTACCAGGAAGCCTTCTGGAGTCCAAGTTTAGGGAATGAGGGTTTCCAGAGGACTTGTCTTTCTGGGGTTCCCAGTCTGGTTTGTGGGTGCTCTCTCACCCACAGAAAGCAGGGGTCTGCCCAGGCTTCGGGCCGGAGGCTGAGGACTGGCCATTCCAAGAAGACCCCATTCCAGAGGGACTCCCTTCAGGTAGGGAGGGCTGAGAATTCTCACATCTTGCAGTCAGCTGGAAGAAGCAAGCCTGGGAGAAGGCAAAAGGCAGGTGGCTGGGTCTTGGCACTGGCACTGTAACAATTCAGAGTTAACACTGGCAGCACAGCTCCAAAGAGGTTACTAAGAAAGGCGAAATGCCCCCACCCCCTTGGAAAGCTCACCCCACTTTGTAACTGTGTAACTATTATAACTGCATCTTACTCAGATGTCTTTCCCCTTTTTCAGCCTCGAGAGTGTCTGTTAAGGTGTCTGTAATGTCTGCTCACCATGGGAACGGGCACAGGTGGCCAGTTCCCTGGGGAGGGATGAGGTCCGGGGATGGGGGGCTCTGCTCTCTGCACGAGGCCCAGCTCCAGCCCTTCCTGCAGGCTGCCTGAGCCCTCCTGGCACTTCTTCCACATCTCAACATTGCACAGCACGAGGCCTAGCATGCACAGCATGGCACCAACGTTCTTGCCACCGCCCCTTCTAAATGAGGTGCATGAGCAGGGCAGAGCCGGCTGAGCCGAGTACCAAGCCCACGCACACGTAAAAGGACATCACCACCCCTGTGGCCTCGGCCAGCTCCCTGGGCACGATCTTGGGCCCATAGATGAGAGCCAGCGTGCTGAGGTAGCCGTTGCTGAGTCCCAGCAGGGAGATGAAGAGCACTGGGTAGATGTCGGACTGGAAGACCACCGTTCGCAGGTGGATGCGGGGATGGTAGTTGCAGAACACAAAGAGGGGGACGAGGCAGGTCCGGAGGAGCACAAGCCCAAGGAGCACCTTACTTCTGGGCCCTGGCACCTGGATCCAGGCTGTGATCTGCCGGCCACACAGGTCAGCAAAGTTGTACAGGAGAAAGGTGGTGAGGGGGACAAAGAACTTGGTGGTCCACAGAGAGCCCGAATCCTTGCTGAGGGACTCAATGTTGGTGGAGATGGCGGGGAAGATGAGGCTGGTGATGAGGAAAAGGTAGATGATGCAAAAGCCCAGGCTGGCTGTCTTCTTCAGGATGGGGCAGAGGGGTGGTACTGGGGAGTGACTAGGAGCCACCAGAGGGGCATTGGGAGAGTCCTGGGGTGGCTGCTCTTCACCAGAAAACACGTGGGCTGGGCAAACAGGCCTCATGTAGTACCTGTAGATGGAGAGGGCATGTGGTCAGAGCACCCCAGAAAGCAGGATCACTTGGATTTCCTGGGACAGGGCTGGGGGGATATTTGTAGGCCTAGCATTTAAAGTGTAAGCCCCCGGTGGCCCACAGCCCTGGGATGCCCTCCGATAACATGTATGTTGTGGGGTGGCCAGAGGGAGAGGCCTGCACAGGCACTAGCTTGCCTGCCCAGCACTGCCTGAGAGGCTGGACTCCAGTCTGTGGTGGTGGCAGTGCCAGGAGCTGGGACAGAGGAAGTGGGCACTGACCACCGTGTGGCAAGCCTGGGCTCTAGTCTTGGCTCACTTGTTTTGGTTTTGTTTCTTTGAGTGCTGCAGACTGAGATAAAATAGCATTTAAAAATAGAAATTTCTAAAATTATATATATAATAGATGCTTGAGGCAATGAACCCAAATAATACTTAAGAGGCATGATGTAACAGAAAGAGAATTCCCACCTCTGGTCTCCTTAGAGGGACTGATCATTAAATATCTGGTGTGTATCATTCCATGCGCATGCAAACACTCCCCGCACACACACACATGTACATTTCTTAAGCAAAAGTGGGGTCAAACTGTACACATTGTAAAACTTTCTGCAACAGTACATATACTTCCTAAATCTATCATACATAATACATTACATAACTGCCTAAATACATGCATAACCACTGTACATAAACGTACACACATAATTGCCTAAAGAACAGTATCTCGTGGCCACAGGGACACGTGGTTCTGTGTCTCTACTGCATCCCTGCATCATATTTCACTGGATAAACCTTTAGTTTCACTGCTTCCCTACTGGTAGACATTCAGGTTTCTCTCCTATAAGAAATGGTGCAATGACCATCCCTACACATAGTTCCTTGCACATGTATACTAGTATTTCAATAGGGCAGATTTCTAGAAGAGGAATGGCTGAATCAAAAGGGTTGTAGCTTTAAAATTTGTGTATATATATTGATAAACTGCTCTTCAAATAAGTAGGACAAATTTATCTCTGCTCTATTCATGCAGCCACCCTAATTAAAGTAACCAAACCTTTTAATCTCTATGAGAGCAGCTGTTTCAAAACACTGACCACAATTTAATCACCATTGTGTTAGCTCACTGGTTTATCATCTGCCCCTTCAATAGAAGACAGCTCCCTGGGACAAGGACCATGATGGGCTGTTTCCAACTAAATCTCTAGGCATTGGATAGCCCTTTAAAGCACAATTGCTGAAAAAACTGCTAAGCTTATCCCCCATATCCTCAATACTGAATATTAGCAGTCTTTTCAATTTCTGCTACTATGACCAGAACAGAAAAGGCTTGGGTCACTTTCCCTTGCTGTGTGACCTTGCCTGAGTCACTCAAGCTCTCTGGGTTTCTGGTGTCTGAAAACCAGGAGACATAGGCTGAACTGTATTAACATACCTCAAACAGAAGGCTTGGTGTGGGGGTGGGAGAACAGTAGTTTAATGACAGCTAAGTTTCAGTTTCAGTGCCTGCTCGTGTAACCTTAGGCCAGGTACTCCTCTCTCTGGGTCTCCGTTTCCTCCTGTGTTAAATGGAGGGACTCTGCAGCTGTGATCTTTTGCAATCCCCACCAGTCTTTCCATCCTAAGAGCCTCCAGATAGCAAGTGAGTCAGTGGGAGGATTCTTTCCCAGAATCACTTTCCATGTAAGGCTGAGCAGGGCACTTCAGCCTTGAACTCTGTCTTGTTTCACAATCACTATTTGGGGAGAGGAATATTTTTACTTCCCCCTTTATTCAGCATCAGGTACCTGCCTTAAGTCTGCTCTGATGAAGCTCCCCACCAAGTTCCTCTGGTCAAAGCTCTTCCTCCTAAGTTCTTCAAACCTGTCTCACGTCACCCTACCTGGGTCAGCAGCTTCTGAAGCTGCCTGAGGCTCAGATCTTCCAGGGTGGGATGGGGCAGCCCAGCCCAGCCCTCCTGGGTGTGGCCCCTGTGAGGTCTCTTTGAAGTAAGATTTAGTCTGAGCAGCGCTGGGAGTGTATATAGCTCTCTCTGAAGCTCTATCCTCAGTGGAGCTCTTGTAAAGCTGGAAGTCTTGATCAAAGTTTAAATCAGCAAAGAAAACAGAAGCTTCCGTGGGATGATAGGACCCTGGGTGTTCTCTGTCCACATGTGCAGCTGGAAAGGATTTTCAGCTTTCCTACCACTTCCCTATTGATGGACATGATCCAGTGAGACTGGAAACTAGAGTGACCCACCGTCCTGGTTTGCCTAAGACTGTCCTGGTTTTAGCACTGAAAGCCCCTCGTCCTGGGAACCCCTTCAGCCCCAGTCAAGCAGGGAAGGTTGGCCACTGCACTGGAAACAGACCCATGCAAACTATGCTGAAACAGGACACAGGGAGACAGCAGGATTGCTGGGGACCTCCTGCCTGCTGGCCACTCAGTGACTCTACAGTGATTTAATCAGCAGCAATAAGGCAGTGTGTGGGGTGCAATGAGCCAGCCAGGCCCCAGGTATCACAGGGACATTGTCATGTAGCACAACTGGGCAATTTTTGATGACAGCCCTTAAGGGGCAAGGGAGGGGATGGACAGGCTCACAGGTCTGCAGCCACCTGCGATATTGGGGGTGGGGGGGCATGGTCTCAAGTTGCTCAGTCTCCTTTTATCCTCCTGAGGCCACTGAGGCCAGCTAAAGTTCTAACAATTCTCCAACTGGGGAAAGCTACCTGCACTGGTGGAATAGGGGTTCTGGTAAAGGCAGGGGTTCTGGGGATTAACTAAGTGACTCTCTCACAGGGACAGGAGGAATAAATGGTAAGGGAAGACCCTCGGAGTCCCAACCCAGGGATGCAGCACGATACCTGAAAGAGTACAGCTCTGGAAACAACTCCAGGTTCAAATCCCTGCCTATGACTCACCAGGTGAACAACCTCGGAATGTGTGTTAATTCTCCAAGCCTCAGTTAGTTTCCCCATCTATAAAGTGGGAAAATACAGCAACAGCTGCACAAGATCATCAAATACAATAAATGAAAAAACTGCTTAGCTCAGTGCTGCCATAGAAAATAGGTTCCCGTGGAAAAGCACAGAGCCAGGACCCAATCTCTCCCCAGCTCTGCCACTTCGCACACTGTGGGAACACAGGCTGATCACTTGGCTGTCTCTGTTTCAGTTTCTTCACCTCTAAAATGGGGAAAATAATTCCTCCCTTTCCTCCATCAACCAAGATAATAGGTATGAAAATGCTTTGAAAATAATAAAATGCAAGAAAAAAGTCAAGGGTTGTTTTTTTAAAAAGCAGCAGGAAGAAAAGAGGAATGTGAGAGAGAGAATAAAGTAAGAAAAGAGGCCCAAGGGGTACAGAAGCCCTGAGAGACAATGGATAAAAACACAGGTTTGGACTTGTGTTCGAATCTTGATTCTGCTGCCAGAAGGCTGTGGACTCAGGGGAGTGATTCAACCTCTCTAAGCCGGGTTTTCTCGTGTGTGAGCAGGACAACCATGGTACCACATTCCACCCAGCCCACAAGGAACAGGTGTGAGCATTAAACGAGGGAGGTCCCATCAGGCTAGGTTGAGTGCCATGCAGGAGCCAGGAGGCACCCAGTGAATGGGCTATGGTTCACTGTTATCAGTCCTTAGTCTTGCTTCCACCGCCTTCCCTCCCTGTCCGAAAACTTGCAGAATCCAGATGCTTAAGAGTGTAGCACAAGGCCGACTTCTCACAGCCAGTGGCCTGCTCCATTTATCGAGCAACTACTATGAGCCAGGCATAGCTCAAGGAACCAGGAGACAGCAGGGAACAGAATCTACACAATTTCTGCCCTTGAGGGCTCATGCTACAGTGGACAAGGGCAGAAAACAAGGAAACGAACATGTCATCTAATTAGATGACAGAAGCACTCAAGCAGTTACTATAAAGACATAACCATACATGGAAGGAGGATGAACCGGCAGAATGAGTGGTGGCCCTCACCTGGCATACTCCAGTCGCGGCAGTAGCAGGTAGAACCCAATGCAGAGCCCAAGGAAGACGTCTGCCGTCAGGAAGAAGACCAGGGTGCTGTCTGTCACATCGCTGGCTGCTGCCAGGTCCACCAGCGAGGCCACGGCACTGATGGTGCCTCCCATGGCCCCTCCTGCAGAGAGCACAGGACACTCTGGAGAGGGTCAGGGGTGGGTCCATTTTCCCTGTGTGTCAGGCTTGCCCTGTCTCTGCTCAGGGTTAACAGAACCAAAATAACAATTCTCCCTGCTGAGAAAAATGCTGCCCTTCTCACAGTCTCCAGGAGCCTTGGCAGACACGAAGGGGTTCTGCAGCTGTGAGCTTTCTGACTCCAAGAGGAGACAGGCTTTCATGTCCCCAACCCAGGTTCTCTCTGATGGCTTGTAAGAGGCCACCTGAGGTGGCAAATGGCCTCCAGAGCTTCAGCTGCTTCCTGGTTTCACCTCTCGCCCTTGACCCTCTCTCTCTCTTTACTGCCTTTTCGGTGGGATCATATTTTAGTTTCAGTGGTGGGACATCTCAGAGAGCCATCAGTCCAAACCACCCACCAACCAAAATGGAAAGCAGGCTCAGGGAATAGCCTAGTAGAGGCCCTCCCACTGCTCCTGAGGGAGGCTGGGTGTCCTTGTCTGAGAGTCCTCAATGGCTACAAAACCCCGGTGCCACCCACCTGTGAGTCATGGAACTTACCTTATAGGTGGCAGTTGTGGCACCATGCGTATGTGAACACATGTGTATGCACACTCCACACATACCTTTTCTCATACACACATACATGTTCACACACTCATACTATATACACACATACACTGTTACATGCCCTCACATACCCACTCATACCCATACACACACAGTCACATACATACACACACTCATACTCACACTCACATGTGTGCAACTGCCCCATCACATGCAATGTTCTTTCTTGCCAAGGGCTTTGCACATGACCCATGTGACCATGTGTGCTGCTACCTAGTGGAGGTAGCACAACCTAGTGGACCACAGATCTAGGAGCCAAACAGATATATTACATCTGACCCTTGACCCTTCAAGTGCTTTCTGGACTTGGAGCTAACGTGACATTCTGGAGACAGTTTGCTCACCTGTAAAATGGGGATAATGACAGCTGCCTTGCATAGCTGTTTTGAAGACTGAATGAGATGATGCTCAGAAAGGGTCCAGCACATAGTAAGGGTTCAACAAATGGCAGTCCCCTTCTTTGCCACAATCACACAGTCACTTCTGGGAAGCAAGGTATGTGTCTTACTTTTCTGTTGAACCCTCATAACTGTGGGTAGTCAACTTGCATTGGCCAAGGGTCAGAGGTTATCTGTTTATCCATGCAAGCAGATGATTTACACCTGTCTCCATTTAGTTGCCTGGAAAATGGGACTAATACTTGTCCTATGCATCACATGAGACCATAGTGAGGTCAAAATGCACTAATGAGTGGAAAAAGCACTGAATACACGGACACTCCTTTGGTATCAACACAGTACGTGCCTGCTAAACATGCTGGACTGCCAAGCTGAGTGAATGAATATGCCTGTGAGAGAGGATCAGGGCATAGATTCTCCAGGAGGCAAGACACTGGCTGGCTGCAAAGAGCAAACAGGCCCATGCGGGCATGAACTGCTTTGCCATAGTTCGGCCACTCTGACCAGGCACCACTATGCCGCCTGCAGGTGCACAGAGCAGAAGTGGGAGAGTGACGATTCAAAACCCTGTCCACCCACCATCACTGTTCTACCCACACTCAGCCTGACATCCCTGTGGCTCTGCAGGGAACAACCGTGGCCCTGAAGGATGATCCTTTCCTTCCCACCTTCTCAGTATGACCTCTATGAGCCTGGGTGGGCCCAAGGTGGGGATTTGAGGGGAGGGCAAAGAAAGAAAAGATTGCATAGAGATTAAGAACAGACTCTAGAGCCAGAACATGTTCCAAACGTGGCTCCACCTTTTCTAGCTGTTACTTAACCTCTCTGTGCCTCTGTTTCCTCATCGGTAAAGTGGGGGTGTTAATAATACCCACCTTGTAGAGCTGTTATGAAGATTAAAAGGATTATTGCATGTAAAGCACACAGAGAAGTACCACGTAAGTCCTCTCAGACTCCCAATTAGGAGTTTGGCTATTTCTGTCCTTCCCACTTCAAAGCAGTAACAACAGGGTAAACCCTTTGCCAAGAGGGCTCCAGCTTCTGAGGAGCTGTAATCCCCACTTGGGCGTTCAGTGAGACATTTCCCGGCTGCCTGGAGGAAGAGATCTTAACATCACTGCCTATTGATTTTCCTCTCTCCTTCCCAACTTGGAGAGAATTTACAATATTATCATCAACAACAAACCAGGCCTCCGGGAGCTCATCTTTCATGACTCCCTACTTTTATCTCATCAGTTATGGAAATATATGCAAATGAGGGGTTTAAAAAAACACCAGTACAAAACAAATGAATTGTTCCTCAGATGCCAACACATGCAGAATTTACAGATGGGCTCCTCTGGACGAAAACAACAGGGCCTTGTGAGGGCCTCTGGGAAATCTGGACACCTCAGGTTTTCCAGGGTGATGGGCACCCACTGGGGGAGGTACACAGTGATGATGACGGCTTAGGGCCCAGGGTGATTAATACTGCAGTATGAGTACTAGGTTTGCCAACTTTTTCAAAAATGGACTTCCTGAAAAATTCACAGGAGAACCCAAGAAGATTTACAGGTGGCCTGATGACCCTGAAGTGTCCCTTGTCAACACAGATGATGTGTTTGGGTACTGGCTCCTGGATAGGTAGCCAGCGAGGCAGTTATACTGGAATACATCCTCCAGCAGGATGGAGGGAAAATGAGGGGATAAGAGCTTCTCTCTCCGAGCTGGTAGCCAGCGAGGCAGTTATACTGGAATACATCCTCCAGCAGGATGGAGGGAAATGAGGGGATAAGAGCTTCTCTCTCCGAGACTACAGTGACAAAAGGGATTCCATCCAGCACTTGGTGGCCATTTCCCCAAGCCTAGCATGGCCTCCTTGAAGCATTGCTAGGGGCATATTGATTTTACTCAGCAAACTTAGCAATGGGCCCACTTTTATTTTACTTTAGCAAGGATTTGCCGGGATAGAGCCAGAAGCCTAATCTTTCATCAAAAATGGCAAACAGATTTGAGTCCACAACTGAACTCTGATCCATTGACAGTGACTGCGCCACTGCTGTTGAAAAGGATTTAGAGGCTCAGGAGGAAATATACAGATCTATTAGTGATGTCTGGCACTGATGTGGGAGTGGGGAGGGATATACACTTGTCAGGGTGTTTGTCATCCCTCCCGCATACTACCACATACTACATTATTATTAGGCACAGAGCAGATTCTTTGTGGAAATTCTTCTCGAGTAGGCAAATGCTTAGGGCACTCCTTCACACATCAGGGACATGGGAAGATGCCAAACAGAGCAGCTGAGCCCCCAGTCTTTGCTTTAAGGGATGTGGTCTCCTGGGAAAGTGCAGATTCGAACAGAACCAGCACCTTTTTATCTTGGAACATCTGGGTGAGAGAACAGGACTGCTTAGGTCTAGAGAACAGGCTTAGGATCAGCATCAAAACATCAGCCAGAGAGGCTGCCCAAGTCGCCCATGTGCACACCCGCAGTGTGGTGAAGTTCAGGGGGATGGAGGGGTTTATTTACTAACTCCTGAAAGGCTGAGTCTTAATCATCTTTGAATCGCCAGTACAAAATGAGAAAGGAAGGAAAGAAGGGAAAAGGGAATGGAAAGGAAAAATAACGGGAAGGGAAAGAGACAGGAGTTGGTGGGAGAGGGCAGGAGGAAGGAAAGGAGTGCTGTTTCAGGACATGCCCTTGGCAGGCGGACTGAATTTTCCCAAAGCGGCTGCAACTGTGTCTCTCCTGTCCCACCTGCTCATCTTCCTACAGTGATTCTCATCCTCCCCCTGAGATGTACAGGTCAGTGTTCTCTCCCCTCGAATGCAGGTGGCCTTATGGCTGTGCTGGAAGTGACCCTAAATGGCTTCTATGGCTCAGTCATTAAAGGTAATAACACTCTGTCTTGGTTTCTGGGGTCGCTCATTCCTGTGACCCAGGCATGATGCCATGGAGAAGCCAGAGCAGCTTGGAGAGGTCCAGGTGGACAGGAACTCTGGCCCAGCCCCAGCCCTGGCAGCCAACAGCCAGCAGCAGCGTGCCAGGGAAGCATGCCGTCTCACGAGCAGGTCCTCCAGCCCCAGCTGAGCCACTGGCTGATGCCAGGTGGAGCACAGGAGAGCTGTCCCTGCCAACTCCTGCCCAACTGTAGATTTATGAGCAAAAAAATGACTGTATCCTGCTGAACTACTAAGTTTTGGGGACTTTGTTACATAATTATAGATAATAGAAACACACCTAACACTCATTTCCTTTTGGGCAAGGCCATTACATGTTCACCTCTGGCTCCTTCACAGGACCCCCAGGTGGGCTGACCTGGTTGGCTATGTGGACCCCAGCTCTCACCTGATATCAGCGCCTGGGAATTCCTCATAGGGAAGGAGCCAGTCATGCCAAAGACACTGCTATTGAAGATGGTGGAGGTGCTGCTGAGGATCGCCATGCACATGATGGTGACAGCAAAGAAGCCGTGGGTCCAGGAGGAGGTGTCCACTTTCACCAGCACGGTCATTACCACGAAGACGGTCAGCATGACAGTCAGCGAGGCCAGCACGCGGACATGGACTGGAACCCTGGGGTGAGGACGCCAGAGCCATTAGAGACCCCCTCAGACCTCCCATGCCAGGCCAGGAAGTGTGAATGTTCTTGGGGAAGTGGGTGAGTTCAGCAGCTGGGACCATCCATTCTGCAGTCAGAAGGCCAGGGTCTGAGTCCTGCTTCCTGGCTCACCAGCTGTGTGGCCTTGGGTAAGGGACTCAGTCGCTCTAGTGTCAGCTTCTGCATCTGTACAGCAGGGGAAGGAGGGGTCTTCCCGAAGGGGCAGCTGTGAGGATCTCCAGAGGGGGATGTGGAGGGTGCAGGGGGAAGCGCCTGGCCTAAGGCAGGGGCTCAGCGGATGCTGCTTCTTTTTGTCCTGCTGTGAGGTTCAAGGACAGGATATAGGGCTTCTGAGGAAAGCCCCCTACTCCTCCTGCCGCAGGGCTTTGGCTAGGGTCCAAATGGAGGACCCACCCACCGGGCCTCCTTCCCTCAAAGCTTAGCAGTGGGGGGAAGGAGAAGGAAAGAGAATCCTCCTCCTCCTCCTCAGTACTACATTTATGCTAGGTGCTCTTCTAAGAGTTTCTGTATGCTCACTCATTGAATTCTCACACAGCTCCCTAAGATAGGCATTCTTAACGTATCCTGCTTATAAGGAAGCTGAGGTCAAAGAGGTGAGGAACTTGCTCAAGGTCACTCTGCTGTGAACCCAAGAGGTCTGGCTCAAGTCTGTGCTCTCAGAATGACACTCTACTGCCTCCCCTGGAAAGAAGGAAATACAGGTGGCTCAGAGCAGGCAGCCAGGGCAGAGGATTCTCTTGGGTTGGTCTTGTTGTCATGGGGTGCAGCTGGTGCCAAGTTAACGCAGCCAGGGCCAGCCCCCACCCCTGCCCCATACCCGTATGTAAACCATAGACCCCTCCCGGACCCTGACTGTGCAGACACTGCCCCTCAGGCAGAAGCGGGAAAGCCTGGCTCTCTGAGAAGCTGCCTTTTTATTCTGAGGAGAGAGAACATCATCTAAGGGGCTGTTTAAATCATCAGATTAGACTAAGCTTTAAACCAGATTGGATGTTTAGTTTAATTTTCTTGCCAACCAGTGGGTAGGGGCTGGGAGAAAAGCCAGATTAGTTATTCAAAGATATTTTTCTGGATAAAAAAAGAAAGACTTGAACAGTAGAAAAAAAAATTTGTATGTACATACATAGGTGTGAAATGATGAGCAGGCAAGGGTTTGTCACAGAGCTTTTGTGGCCCCAGGCTGCTCTGAGTTTCCTTTGGATCCTCTGCTCCAGGGAGAGCAGGTGTTACCTGTGCTTTGTAAGGGGCAGAAGGAAGCCAGAAGAAGTGAAGGGAAGGTTCGATGTGCCAGTGTGAGTCCTTGGGGAGCTGGGACGAGAACCCAGGTCTGCTGAGCCCCAGCCCACAGCTGTGAGCTAACGTATATCCTCTCTGGTGCACTCATTCCACAAACATGTATCAGGCAACTACTGTGTGTCATGCACTGTGCTGGGTGCCCGGGACATGGGATGGAAGAGGGGCAGGCATTTTGTTCTAGTGTCCAAAGTGCTCCATCAGGGGTGCCACAGGGCATCCTGGGCACCTCTGAGGGACACAAAAATCACCCTGGATGTCAAATGGGCTTTTATGAGGCAATAGCTAGGCTGCAGTGTGAGGTGTGTCTGGATGTGAGCGTGCACACCTTGTGGGAGAGAATGGCAAGGTTAGGGGACTGAAACAGACTGCGGCTGCAGGGAAGCTTGGTAGTGAAGCAGGCTGGAGAGACCTGGGGCCCCATCCTGGGGGGCCTTGTCTGCCTAATAAGGGCCAAGACTTAATCCTCACTGTGGGGCATTCCTCACAGGAATGTCCCTTCTCCAGGCCAAGCTGTCCTGGGGAGGAGACCGGCCATACCGTCCACAGCAACCCAGACACAAACATGATCTGGCCTGGGGTGATGAGACTCTTGCATGCTGCTGGCTGACAGCCTGGGCTGGGGATTAACACGTGACCCAGACAGGGCCAGTCAGGCCTCCCCAAGCCAGAAAGGTGGAGAAAAGCTCATTCTCTGCCGTGCCTGTGTTAGGGACTCTGGTTACCACCCGACATCTGCATGGGGAGAAGTCATGTTTGGGATGAAGCCAAGCAGATACACAAAGAGCCCAGGGACAGCACAAGAGGACAGCCCTGTGAACATTTCCAGCAATGCCCAGACAGGCAAGCCTGACTTTACTTGCCCACAAATCGTTTTGTCTCCATTGTTTGTTAATAAGAGTGCCAACTAACATAAAGGGGGCACGTCAGGGATTCCAGCTGGGGAGCAACACGGTCAGACTCCACTGCTGTGCTTGCTGTGGGCGCCTGGCCCGTGTGCCTGCCCTCTGACCAGGAAGTAAGCTGCTGTGACAGTAACTAATGCCTCCTAAGGGCAGCCTTCAACCAATGGTAAGGACATGGGCAGATGAATAGCCCAGCTCCTTCCCTCCCTTCGCCTCCTGAGTAAACCGCTCACGCCCGAAGCCTTGTTCCAGGGTCTGTTTCTGGGGAACCTGGCACCAAGATGCACCTTCCCAGAGCGTGCAGGGGCCTTGGCCTGAGCAGGAGCGGGTGGGCACTCAGGTGGGGCAGCAGGACCCCTGTTCTAAGTGCACACCGGGAGCCCTGGAGGCTGGTGGTCAGGCCTGACCTCTGATGCTCTAATGACCCTAAACCCAACTCAGTCCCACTGTGCTCTCACTCCCCCCACATCTGGGACAAAGTGCTGGGAGAGGGTGGGGCACACCCATACCACCCACCCACAACATAAGAGCCAGCAGGGGCACAGAGCCTGTGTCAGGAAACTGGGGCCCTGCCACCAACTCGCTGTGTGCCTCCAGGTGAGTATTCCATCTTTCTGGACCTTCGTTTCCTCATCGTGAAAGAGAAGAAGCTGGACAAAGTCATGTTAGGTCCCTTCCAGTTCATGACTCTAAATCTGAAGAAATTCAAGTGGAGAGAGGCTGGGGACAAGTGCCAAAAAGTTTTAACAGTTCCTTGGGGCAAGAAGAAGGCGAGAAGATTGGAGGAGCGCCATGACAATGGCCCTCTCCCGCTCTCATCCCAGGGCGGGCACAGGGCCTAGGACACTGGAAAGCATGTGCTGGGCACACAAACCGACGAGCAAGGGGCATCGGCAGTGCAGGAACAGCTTTCACGCTGGGCTCCAACCTCTCAGCGGCTCTCCGCTTCTTGACCCTCAGCATGGCAGGGAGACAGCTGCGGCATTTCCAGCCAGCCTTGGGCATGGCCTCTGCCTCTAACCACCGCTTCACAGACACGAGCAGAAACACTCTGCCCCGGGAATGCTGCTGGCATCACAGAAGCTCTCCTGTGCCTGTCACAAGGTCACAAGGCCATTAGTTGCTTGAAAGGAAGGTTGCTTTGGAGGGAGCTGGGGACTTCTTAGCCAGCACCCCAAGGTGGGATGCTGAGGGGGGAATGGGAGATGAGGAGGCAAATGCCAAGTGTACGAAGGCATGCAGTTCCCAACCAGGCTCTGCACCCCCACATCCCCGTTACACTCCCCCCCGACCCTCCCCCACCCCACCACCACATAAGGTCCCTCACCTGCACAGGTCTCCCTGGCTGCAAATTACTTGCTCACAGCTCACTCTCAAGGGAGCCTTATCCATGCGTTCCAGGCCCTAAGGGATCTCACCCGGGGCTATTTCATGCTCATAAAGCTTTATGAAACGTGCCATGTATGAGCCCACCCCATACATTCTATTGGGGCCACACTGGCTTCACTCTCAGTTTCTTCCACACTGGGCAGGGAAAGTAGTAGCCCAGGGGATGGCGGTACTGTTGGGATTTTAGAGCAAGTCTAGAGAAGCTTGCCATGGTGACCATAGTTCTGCTCTGGCCCAGGGGACAGGGTATGGCTGAGACCACCGCTCCAGTGCTGGGACCCTGAGGCAGGCCACACGAACATGAGATTCTGCCAACTTCCCCCCGCCCCTGCTTGTGAGGGCTCAGGACCCCAGGGGACTGATTTCTTCATAAGTCTCCCAAATGTAAATCCTCCTCATAAGTATTTATGATGCTGCAGATTTAACATAATAAAACACTTGGCGATTATGGATGAGCCAGTCAGAGAAAGCCAGGGTCCTCCAGGAGGGGAGAAAAGGAGACAGTTCAATCTGCACATTATATAAAAACAACTTCCGAACCATCTTCCCACAGCCCAGAAACAGACGGGGGCCTGCAGGCATTTCCCACATTGCCCCCACCCCTCTCCTGGAGCTGGGCAACAGCAGGCCTGGGGCGGGCCGGACCCTCTGGAGGGTGACCTGCGGTGCTGAGCCCTCAGAGCCAGCTGCCCACCCAACCTTGGGAGTGTGGCTGCCTGGGCAGTCCATGGTCGCCACTGCAGGCAGACCCAGACCCTCCTGACCATCTCCTTCCTTCCAGCAGTGTGAGGGCAGGGCAGGAACGGCCTTAACAAGAAGGGTCTGAGGTGTAGCTCTGGCTGCAGGGAGGGCTGGGAAAAGCTGGGGAACAAGGAAGCAGGGGGCCCAGAGATTCCCAGTACATGTGGAGCACCCACAAGAAGGGTCCCAGTTCCAGTCCTGGCTCCATCCCTTTAATGGCCATGTAACCTCTGTTAGCCTATTTTCCTGCCTGTAAAATAAGGTAATAGGGTTCTTGCTCACTGGCTGGTGAGGATTAAAGGAGATAATACCTCTGAGGGATATGAGTGCTCTGAAGTGCTAACTGCTCTTGTTAGAGATTATTCCCCTAGGTCCTGTGAGCGGCCCCTTCCTGCCACTGCTGACACCCAGGCCTAGGCTGGCTTCCAGCCTGCAGGACCTCCTGGCCCCTGAGGAGTCAGGGCCACACGAGGTGCCAGCTCAGGCTGCCCCTCACTGCCTCTGTAGTTCTGGGCACATCTCCTGACTTCCACTCGGAAAATGAATGATGTCACAGCCTCCCTCCTGGGGTGTTGTGCATCCTAAGTGATAGAACAAGGGTGTCACCAGGCATTACCCCATTGTTACAATTCAGGCAGTGACTTCAGATCTAGAAGGAGGTGGGAGCTCTCATGTATATGAGCCTGGGCGAGCCCATCTGAATGAACCCCCATCCTCAGGGCCCGCTGAGCAAGTGGACACAGGGGATCATGAGAGAGGCCTGGAAACAGAGAGGGCAACTGAGAGGCTGAGGGGCTCCCCACCATCAGGGCTCTGTTACCCCTCTCTTCCTTGTCCTCCTCGTCTTACATCCCCTCCCTTTCCTCCTTCCGTCTCTCCTGTGAGTCACTGTGGGGACCCAGCTCTGCCCTCCAGGGGCTGGCAGCACTGAGGCAACTCCTGGCTCTGCTCCTAGCTCCCCTCCTCCTGGGGTGGGGTCTCTAGAGGCTGTGCCCCACCTGCCAGGATACTGATGTAGCTCTGTGTGCCAAGGGAAGGCATACGGAGGCAGATTTAGGACCAGCTAGCTTGTGATCGGGGTTGCAAGGCCCTCAGGCCAATGAAGCACCATTCACCTTCTTGCTCTCCCAGCCTGCACTTTGGTTTTAAGATGGGTGTAAATCCTTTGACATTCCTTCCATGGAGAGGTGGGTCTGTGTTTCCTTGAAACCAAGTGGGCACTGTAACTGCCTTGACCAGGTGAGTAGGGCCCAGGTGACTCTGTGTGACTGCAGAGATTAGGTTACAAAAACCACATAGGTTCTGCCTTGGTCTCTTGGAGCACTTACTCTTCAGCCACAATATGAAAAGACCTGCCACCTGAGACCATCACACAAGTGACCAGAGAAAGAGACCAGAAAGAGAGAGAGAGAGGTGCCAAGGAGGCCCAGCAGCTCCAGCCCCAGGGTCGGCAGCTGTGTGAAGACACCAAGCCAGAGATGCCAACTGAGCCTGCTGACTCCCAGAACCAGGAGAGATACTAATTATCGTTATTGTTTTAATGCTTGGGGTCATTTTTATACAATATACAATTGGAATAGCCTGATAGCATAATACATTTGGAAAGAATGGTCTAGTCAGGCTTAGCACACATGGGGCACACATGCTTCCCTGTCTCCTCCTATACGCAGAGAAGACATCACTAATTGATCACAGCACACTCCCTCAGCCAGACCTGCCTTAGAATCCTGTTCAACCAGAGACCTAGGCAGTCACTTCAAACTGAACAAAGTTAGGTAAAATAAAGTTGCCAACAGTGAGTTAAGGTTTCAGTTAGTTGTGCCCAAGAGAAATCCAGGTTTCTGAATCATAATGTATCCACTATTATTATCTGGCGGTAGTATAGGGGAAATTCAAGCAAAGTAGCTTGGGCTGTTGTCTTCCTAATCCTAAAATGAGAATGAACTGGCAACAGTCACCCAGTGGGGTCCAAAAGACATGCTGATTTGCCCGGCTGTCTCCTAAAGCATTCCTTCTTGCACAGCACGTCTGGATGGAGGCTATCTCCCAGCCCTGCACAACAATGTCTGAAGTTCCCTGCTGAGTCCTTTGTGAGTGGTTGATAAGTGAACTGGTGTTACTAGCTTAGCACTGAGCAGTTAGGTGACCCATCTCCACACAGTGAGAGCCAGAGCTGTGGGCTGCTAGGCTCTTAACTTCCCACTGCTCTCAGAAATGCTTGGAAGACCAACTTCCACAAGCTTTGATTCCTGGGCCCTGCCCCCACCCTCCATGTGGTGTCCCTTGACTGCAAAGTATGCAGTCCAGGCAGCTGTTGACAGACAGGCTGCCCTGAGAGAAAAAGGGAAGAAGACCCATGTGCCCATATACCTCTTGCTAGCTGCTAATACAATGTCACAGCTTGTGGCTAGAAAATGAATACCCAGCTCCCTGACTGAGCATTCCATAGGCAGGGCCTCTGGTCACTGATCTGACTTCTCAGTCTTCAAGGAGGAGTCTGCTGTCTGCCTCCTACTTTGGTGGTCACCATTTAAGCAGGCAGAAAGCAGCCACTGATGAAAGGGGAGAGGCTCGAGGGGCAGGTCGGGGGCCTAAGACAAGGCAAGGGGCCTACCTGTTGACAAGCAGGAAGTTCGCCACAAGGCACAGCACGGAGGGCACGGTGGAGGCGATGGTAAGGTAGCTCTCAAAGTAGTTCTGCAAGCACACAAGTGAGGGTACCACTGAGGTCACTGAGGATGGAGGGGAGGGCCCCCACCGGAAAGCAGAGACAGGGTCCCTCTTGGTGGGGTTTGTCCCATCTTCAGATACCTATGAGTGATAGATGAGTTTACCCCAAGACAGCATGGTCCTGCTCCATCTCCTACCTAAGACCACGCACTCTGTCATTCAACAAACAGATGCCAATATGACTGCGCTAAGTGCTGGGGACGTAAGGAAAGAAAGGCATCATCCCAGCCTTCAGAGAGGTCCCTAATGCTCTGTAGCCCAAGGTCCCACCCATTCTACCTATCCCACACATGGAGGCAATGGAGACAGGACTCAACGTATGTATCTAAAGAAAAACTTTGCCCTACCAGCCTTCATACCCCACTGCCAAATTTCAGAGTTAGTTCCATTTGGAGAATGGTTTTATGACCCAACCACATTCTCACGTTCTTACAACCAAGTGAGGCCTCTTAGAAATACACCAGGTCCTAAACCCTGCAGGGAAACTGTTCTGACTCTGGATTTGCTCCCTCAATATAGCTGCTATGCAAGGTCAAAGCCATTTTGGGAAGTGGCTCCTAGAGAGGCCAAGATGAGGAGAAAGGACATTTCCTTTTCTACTAGCAACTCAAGGCTATTATAGACAGGGTGCATGAGACCACAGATAAGATGAAGAATTCCTGATTAGAATGTACTGGAACTTACAGCTAGAGATGCTGTGTGGCAACTGTATACATTTTTCAAAACCCAGAGAACTGTCTGCTCATTACAGTAGACTTTACTGGGTGTATATTATCCCTCAATATACCTGTCTTAAAAAAAAACAAACATTGGGAAGGACTACATGTGTCAAGCCATGACCCCCAGGTTGGCAGTGATGAGGGGTTCTCAGCCATGACAACAGCTTACATGCATTAAACATTTACTCCGTACAGAATACAGGGCTTCATATGAATTATATTGTTTACTGTGAAAAATTAACAGAGTCTCTGAGTATTCAACTTGAGATAGCTTATGAAATTGAACTTAACTGAGAAAATATTTTGAGTTATAAATGTGTGAAGCACAAAGAACAATATGTGCAGAGAAGTGGCAATTGTAGGGATCACTGGAGTATAAGACATGCTTCTTGCCCATTAAGAACACAGTGTCCCGGTGGGAGTGTAAGATAGAGTGTGAAGGCTTTTTAACATCTCAAAACACCATAGGAAAAGATGTCAGAATTCTGTTTTTTTTGTTTTTGTTTTTGCCAAATCAGCGTTAGGAGCAGTGAGTTCTGTAAGAGAGTTTCAGGTCTGGGAGAGGGATGAGATGGGGCAGAGTACTTGAGAGAATGGGAATGAGTATGGATTAGGGGAAAGGGCCCAGGGGAGATGGGATTTGAGTCAGACATGAAACAAAGGGTTAGAGGTTTACTTTCTGGGAGAGTTTGAGTCAATGTGGAGGCCAAGAAAGAAAGACATCATAATGGGTTCCTTCTAGTTTGAAACAGACCATTCCATGGTCCCTTTTTAAGTCTGCAGAGCACTTTGTGGTCTTTGAAATCTGCACCCTGAATATAAGGTTGTGGTGGCCTTGTAATTAAAATGATAATCACAGTTAGTGTGGTCCATCAACCATGAGCCTTAGAAATAGCCTTCCTCCTTTGAGGTGCCACATCATTGTTCCTGCCCTGATGGGCTCAGCAGAGCCTGGACTGGTCTGAGGCACTCAGTCAATTACATCTTGACACAGTGGCTGAGCCTACGTGAGGTCAGGCAGGTGCTGGGCAGGAGCGATGGAAAAAGGCCCCAAAGAAGAGATGGCTGCAGATGGGGCCTCAGATTGCCCCAGGCACAAATGCCCAGTGACGATTCCTTTATTCAGCAGCTGCTCACTCCACCGCAAGTCTGTGAACAACCATCACATGGGAGGCAGAATTCTCGTCATTTTTTTTAAGCAGGCTCGGGTTCCCTGGACATTTTAGGAATGGGGATTTTCTAGGTAGTTGAATGTTTTGGTTTGTTGATATTTAAGCAGAAAAATTGTTCTTTTAATGCTGAAATCTTTTGAAATATTGACACCAGGGTAAGGCTATGTCTGTTGACTGAGCCCATTTCTCCTCTTTACAAAGAGCCCGTAGGGAGAGGGAGGACAGAGGGGTGCAGGTGTAGAATGGACTCGACCCTGGGCCACCTTTCTACTGGTATGATTAGGGGCTGCAGACAGTGATGTAGGTTGACTCAGCACATGCCATGGAGTTTTTTCTTTTTTTAAGCTTAATTCCTGACATAAACATGTGGTGGTTTTTATTTAAATTATTTGCTACTTTTGCCTGTAAGTGGAGTTCTAGCAAAATGAGGTGTGGTGGGCAGACTCTTAGGGTGACCCCCATGATCCTGGCCTCCTGTGCTCATGCCCCAGGGTGACCCCCTCCAGTGAGCATGGGCAAGACCTGTACCTTGCTTCTAACCAAGAAAATACAGCATAGGTAATGGGTGTGTGCGATTATGTGTATGTGATTATATTCCATGGGTGGTGGTCCCTGTCTTGCTGGACTTATTTTCTCCCTTGTTGGCTTGGAGGAGGCAGGTGGCTCTGCTGGGGAACCCTATGTGGTAAGGCCTGCAGGTGACTCTAGTTGCTGAGAGTGGTTTCTGGCCAACACTTAGCAAGAAACTGGTGCTCTCGGTCCTTTACCTGCAAGGAACTGAATTCTGCCAACCACCCAAGTAAGCCTGAAGTCATCCTTCTCCAGTCAAGCCTCTAATGAGACTACAGCCCTGACCGAACCCCTTGACTTGAGGCCATGTGAGACCCTGAGCTGAGGACCCATGCCCAGATTCCTGGCCTACAGACACCAGGACATAAGAAAGATGTGTTGTTTTAGGCTAAGTTTGCAGCATTCTATTAGGCAGCAACACATTCCTAATTAACAAGTGTTTCCGATAGCTGAGTTCCTACTCTCCAGGGCTTTTCTGAATATTGCAACCTTCCTGTTAAAATTTAAATTCACTTTCTTGATGAAAACAGGGATAGCTCATCATGACCTTTTATTCAATTTCCTGCCAGACATGAAAACAAGCATGTCTGCCCATGAAGGAAAGACGGTCTATGCTTGCTGACCACATCAGGCTCCCGAGCCTTTCCTCACCAAATCCTTTGCTGACATGAGGATCATTTTTGCAAGTGGTATGCACTGATTTCAAGAAACTGAACTTAGTTTATGTGCCATCCAGATCTGCCCACCTTTTCTGCCCCTCAGGCCATTTGCCTTGCTACTTAGTCCCATGGTCATAAGGCCACTGCCACAATGCTACCAAAGGAGAAGCCAACTGCGAGAGACCCTGGGACTGCACGCTGCCCAGGCTGCACCCTCAGAGGCTCTTGCTCCCCAGCTGACTGTGGGAGGGGCCGGGTGACACTCTCGGAAGGGTTGGGGAGGCAAAGCCCCATGATGTAGACTTTGACCAATGAGAAGCAGGAGATGGGAAGGAAACGAGATAAATTGCCTGCCTTTCTGCTCCCCTGACTGTTCTGAAATGTGGTGGCTCCACGTGGCTTCACTGGAGACATCCTGTGCGCCTGAGCAACCAGACATGTTTTGTTGCAAAGCTGTGGCCAGCCTGTGTTTGCTCTTTCACCCCGGCAGTGCTTCCCTCGTCCTTCCCTCCTCCTTCCCCTTACTGCCTAATAGAATATTGGCACAGAAGGGGTTGCCTCAGGATCCTTTCTCAGAAGTTTCTAACAGCAAAGGCCCTCCCTCTAATTTTTTATTATGCCCTTTGCAAACCTGCAGCTGGCAATTCCTCCCTGGGTTCATTGCAGTTGCTTCCAAGGGATGTTGGGATTACCTTCTCCCATTTTACTCAGGGAAATGTAAAGACATTTGAATACCGGTTCAAACGTACTGCAGTTAGAATGGTAACAGTACTGCTCCCTCTGAAGCAATCTGCAATCTCCATCCCATAGGGCAATTTTATGTAATGCAGTGTTTTGGGTTAATTCATGCCACAGTTCACCTCCACATGGGCCTGATTCCTGAGGGCTCCTTGAAGTGTCTGTTGCTATTTATCTGACTAGGTGCCCGGCAACATGGTTGATGAAGATGACTTCTACCTCCAGAGGTGAATACAAGGACCCCAAAGGCCAGCTCCAGCAGAGGGGAGTAGAGAAATGAGAATACCATCAGGGCAATGGCTCTGGGCCACCTCATACGACAGTGGAGGCTGGCTCTGCACAACCCCAGGGGGCACAAGTCCTATAAGCTGAGATATGACTGGAGCTCCTTAGAGTTGTGCAACATGGCAGCCCTGTGTATACAGCCTGTAAAACCTGGGTATACAGTCCTGGGGGTCAGTTCAGGCCATACATAACTGCAGGTGGAAGACTATGTGTGATTTAGCAAGAAGGCAGGGTGGGAAGGGCGGATGATGCAGGGCAGGACATTATGCAATGATGAGGCTTCCCCAGGCAGGTTTCTCTGCCTCAGCTGGCGGGAGACCTAGAGGCTGGTAATCCCATGGCCCTCAGCCCAACTGGCTGGCCACTATCCAGCCAGGTCAGTATCCCTTGCTGTGTAACCCATTCCCTTGTTTACTGAAGAGGTGGCATTGTCCCTGTGTGCCCAGTGGGCTGCTGATGGTTTGGTATATAAAATAGAAAAGATGGGTGCCTGATTTCCTCAGGGAGTGTGTACTCTGGTGCAATCCTACAGCTGCGTATGACAGATACCAGGTACAGTGGGAGGAAGGAAGGAGGGTCGGGGGGGATCTTCCCACAGGAGGCCATCTTGGACTGCAACCTAGTGTGCCAGACAGATATGGGAATGGGGTACTGCTGGAGAGAGAAACAGCATTCCAAGAGAGGCAACAGCACATGCGAAGGCATGGAGGGGTGCTTCTCTGCACTTAGGACTCCCACGGAAGCTCATTTGTTGGAACAGAATCCCTGGGGCTTTCCTCAGTTTTGACAGGAGTCTCCTGAGCTAAGACAAAACTGCACCGTGT